GCGTCGAAAGAAAAGGGAAGGGAAAAGGGGCGGGAGAAGGAGGAGAGGCGGTGCTCGAGTCACGTGACCCGGGGCAGCCCGGAAAGCTCCGAGGAGGAGCCTGGCGCCGCCATTTTCCTGCAGCTGCCTGTCCCTCTTACCCTGCCCCGCTCCAGCTGACCAGGGAAGGGGTGGGCTGAGCTGAGGCGGGGGCAGAGGAGCGCCCGACACCGTGCCTGACCCCGCGGGTGACACAAGCCTGTTCTTTCCGGGCTGGGTGGCAGCGCGCGGCCCTGAGCCCCGCCCCAGGCCGGCAGGCAGAGAAGGAGCCGGTGGGGGTAGGGGGTGCGGTGGGGGGCGGGGGTCCTCCGGCTTTTGGGGGTCCCAGTCCCCGCCGGCTGCGGAACGGGAGGGGTGGCGGAGGAGCCGCAGAGATGTCCGGCCAGAGCTTGACGGACCGAATCACCGCCGCCCAGCACAGTGTCACCGGCTCCGCCGTATCCAAGACAGTATGCAAGGCCACGACCCACGAGATCATGGGGCCCAAGAAAAAGCACCTGGACTGTGAGTGAAGCTGACTGCTGCCCCCAACCTCGCGCCCCGTGTCTTTCTCCCCATCTCTTTTCTTACCCCCCTTTAGCTGCCAGTTCCCTCTCTGCGTCTTGTCTGGCACGGCGGGTCCTGAGCTCGTCCGAGCTGTGTTCTTTTTGCTTCCATCACACCTGCCTTCACGGCTTCCGTTCCCTGTCTAAAAATCCCTGACAAGCCCCTCCCCTCCGGGATCCTAGAGGACCCTCGCTTCCTTGACCGGGGCGCCACGACACCCCATCACACCCGACCAACTTGTCTCCCCAACTTAGCCTCTCACCTCCCTGCCTCCTCCGTCTCCTTGCAGCCTCTGCTGTTTCATCCCTCCCGTCCCGTGCTGCCTAGTCGCTCTCTCTCCTGAGCGTCTCCCCGCTTGCTCCCGGTCTCACCGCCCCATTGTTTCCCGTTAGCCTTCTTCGGTTTCCGTAAACGCCTGGTGGCGTGGACCCGGATCCCTTTTTCTCCGCAACCCTGAGAACTGCCTCCCTCGAAGTGATTACCACTTCCTTTGCTCCACTAGCTTCTTCTCCTGTCCCTTCCTTTTCCCGGTTTCTCTTCCACCTAACTCCCATTTGGGTTACTTTTCTTTGCCTCTATACCTTCAGTTAAATGCCTTCGTCTCCTTTTATTTTGAATATCATACTCAATACCCGACTTTTGTCCCAGACTACTTTCTTCCTGTGAGTAGAAGTGAAGGGATTCGTTTGGTGTAATATCTGAGTAGAATGGTTTTTCTTTCTACAGTTGTAGCCTATACTGTTTTTCACTGGAATTGGTGAAGGTTCTTCAAGGTCTTGGAGATTTTATTGATTGTGAATCAAATCTCGGGTAAACCTTATTTTTATTTATTTTTATTTATTTATTTATTTTTAGTTCTAATGGGGATAAGAGAAAGGGTTTACTGATAACGGGTGTCGTTTCCTGGAACTGTTTAACAACCTTGGCGGTTTGAATTTAGAAGCTTGAATCTGAAGCGTAGACTATTGGAATTCAAACTGGATTAAGGATCAAACTTAAACATAACATACATCTCTTTAAAAACTGGTGAAAAGATGTTTGATGATGCTTGAGTTTTGACTTTCAATTTTATGATGGCTGTCTTTCGGAGGACTGCCTTTTCTTATATGGAGTAATAGTGCTCCATTCACTAACCTATGTACAGTCACTAGAACTAACTCCTGCCAACTTTTTCCAAACCTGGAAGCCACCTGTAATCTCCTTTTTCTTTCCACACCTTCACCTCAGGGTACAAAGCTCAGTGGATTACTCAAGCTTTGACTCAATGGCTCCTCGGCCTAAAACCTTTCAGGAAAAAATAGGGAAATAGGCACAATAATTTCTTTTTTTTAAATGGCTACTGGACACATAAGCCTGTCTTCCTCCTACATGAAAGTTACTTTGCTTTACTGATCTAAGCAGGAGTGAGCATGCTTGACAGGGAATTCACTGACAGGAGCCATGTTTTGATTTCTCTTTTGGACTTTGGCCTTAAGGCTCTTGATCTTTTTTTAAAAAAATGTACAAAATGTGAATTCTTCCAAGATACTTTGCTCATGAAGTGCTGTTAGAACAAGTTATTGCTACAGACAAACCCATTATTCATTGTGACTGGTTCCTGCTCTGTGGAAAAGTTAAATATATATTATTACAGCTTCGTTCTTCTCTTCTGATGCACAAATCATTCTCATGGTGCCTTTTAACTGTCAGTCCTCACCTGTATAGAGAATGCAGAATATATTTAAATGGTGACATTTTTATAAACAAGAAATTCTTTAAAATGCATTGTGAAACTATAAGTGATTTTTTTGATTATCTGATATTTGGAGTAGACATTTCTATTGTTCATTTCTCTTTAAATGACAACTTGTATTGCTCTACCCAGTCTTGCTGTTTGCCCCAATACTGTTAATTCTTTTTTTTCTTTTCTTTCTGGTGATGGGGGTAGGTGAAGAAAGTACTTGTGACTGTGAACTGTTGTCCTCTTCCCTCATTTCAAAATGCTAAATTACCTCAAGAATAGATATAGCTTTTAAGGTTTTTGTCTTATTTCAAATGTAGCAGTTCTTTTAACACATTGCCAAAAAAGCTTTAACACATTGCCAACGTAGCCAGAAAAAAGGCTAGGTAAGATTAGGATGATGATACTTACTGGGGGTTTTATAAATGTTAACCTTTTCTTTTGTAATAGAAGCTACTGCAGATGTTAACTGGAATTCGATTTGGAGATACTCCCTCACATTTGTAGTTCCTTTTCTCTACCATTGCTGTGTTTATAAACTCCAATTTATTTAGAACTTGAATATTTCTGGTAAAAAATCTATGTAAATAAGGAGCCACTATATTTCTTTTCAATGAGATTTTTAAAATACAGTGATATGATTTTCCCTCTAATGTTTCAAATGCACTTGTAATCAGTTTTCACTAATGAAGTAAATTTTAGTCTGACCAGTGAGTGGTTTTTCTAAAGACCTTCCGTACATACTTTGAAGAAATTGAAAAGGCTTTCACAGACAGTTCTGTGTCTTGACACCAAATTTTAGACTTTAATATAGAGTTAATTTTTACTCTTTTAGAAAGTTTTTTCCTAGTGAGGGCTTAGTTCTGTTGGACCTTTTAATGTCCCAAAAAACTCTTGCATGCTTTATTGAACCTAATGAAACGATTTCATTTTTTAAATGTTAGTGCTTAACAAAAATAGGCTTAGGACTTTTTATTTTTTTTCCTATAAGCCTTTAGAGTGTGGATGTGGTTTCTGTGTACTTCCCCAAGGTCTTTTCCATATTAGGAAGTGATTATTATAATCCATGAATTATGGCTTAATTCATGCTACATTGTATACTTAACGATCTTTTGCTTTGCTTATAGGTGTCAGTGGATAATAGTGTTGACTAGTGTCCCTAGTGTGAAAATAGTTGTCATACTTAAAACATATTTGTAAAGGTGAACTCAGTTTGCATTCAATTCCAGGCCTCTCTTTGCCATAATCAAGGTAGAAGTATAGCAGCCCATAAAGGTTCAAATATAAATTTGCCAGGCACTTATTAACCATTATCTAATTTAATCCTCTCTCACAGATATGGAAGAGACAAACCAGATATGTACAGAAAGTAGTCTCTAACTAAAGAAAGTATAGAATGCTTAAAACATCCATAATGATTGAAGTATAGACAAAACCCAATTTTTATAAGTTCTTATTTAAAATAGTCTTATCTGATTTCACAACCTTTAGTCTGTTCTTTGATTTGAATAACTTTCTTTATACTTATTTAGTTTACTGTTCTTGGGCATTTACATAACTAACATTTCTATTAATGGCTATAATGGCTTCACTTTTTTTTTTAATAATGGCTTCACTTTTATATCCATATTTTTCCCACTTAATTTCCAGGGACACTTCATTCCATCCACCATCTGCCTTACATTTTCTACAATGAAATCAAGATCATGTTCTTATGAAGCATCTATTATAAGCATATCTTTATGCTAGATACAATATGGGTATTTGTGTGTTGTGTACTAGATCTAGACTTGCCTAATTTTAATTGTGGAAACAAATTTTTTTAAGAAACATTTTGAATATTTAGAAGGTGGAATTTGTATTTGGGCTAGTGGTTTGTCTAACCATTGAAAATGCGTATAAGATACTGAAATATACTCGAAATAATTACCTTTTTAAGCAAATGTATTGATTTTTAATGTCTTAAGGACATCCAATGGTTTGTTTGCTATTGTCAAGAAAATATTTGGTAACTGGGATTTGATTTGCAAGAAGATGCACGTGAGGAAAATTATTAAGTGGAAGATCTGCCCCCAAGATGTGATGTCTCTAGTTTAGAAAAAAAGTAACTGGGGTTTTCCAAATGGATCTCGTTTTACAGAGACAGTTATTATGTAGTTAACATTCAGACTTACTGTTTTTTTCCTTTAGAATTAACTATATGATTTATATTTTTATTTTTCATTATTCGACCTATTCTGTCACTTAGTCTTTAATAGTTCTGAAATACAGAAGATGGTAATGGAGTCATTAAGGTGGTAATAGTAAGATTTGACTATGTTGAAAGACATGTTGAATGCCTCAGGTATATAATAGAACTCCATAAATGTAAGGATTTTTCCTCCTTAATATGTCTGTTTCTTAATAGTATATATTCTGGAAGAGAAACTTTGAAGAGAACTTGACATACAGCCATTTTGGTAGCCACCTTATTTGTAATTAGCAAATTAATTCTAAAATATCTTTGTAATTAGGTTTTGCTGGCGGACGTGTTTTAAGGACTACTATTAGACTTTACAGATTTAATTTTTATCCTTATAGCAATGCTTTTAATGATTCCTATAGATTGTATATGTCTGAATAATTTTTAAAGATGTCTTTGAATTTAGAGTGACAGTTGAAGTGAAACTTCATGTGAAATGACTTGGCTTTTTTTTTCTCATTTGATTTGTAAATCATTTGTATGAAATATTTAGTTAGATGTTTTAAAAATATATTAACTGTTAAAAAATAATTCATTCTAATTAATCAGAATTGCTTTAAGTAAAATCGTTTATTTCAACCCTGATTATCATTTAAATATTTAATAATCTAATATTTAAAGTTTTTAAATATTTAAAGATATTCAAAGTTCACCATAATGCATGGAAAGTTGCTTCTATTCTGTTTTCTTCAGTCGTGCTTAGTTCCATGATTTCTCCCTCAAAGAAGAAAAATAAATTTAAAGGCTTCTTGGCGAGAGGTTAGAGGCCTACCAAGAAGTAGTAGAATTAAGATTTTCAAAGTAAAGGCTAGTATTTGCTCTTCCTGTTCTTTTTGGTGGTTGAAGTGGCACTTCCGTTACTTTGTGTTCTGTCTCACTATGTTCCCAAACTGCTTTATACATTTCTCTAGAGAATTGAAATTTTTGGATTGGACCTTTAGAATTTTATCTTTTCATTGTGTATATGGTTATTTTCATGGAGAATAGTTCCTGGGG